GTGATAGCCAACCTCATGGATAATCTTTTCATCCTTGCTATGTGATTTCCTTGGATAGAAGTGCAATTGCCGGGGCATGGAGATATGTGTGGTCATGCACCACTCAATGGTAGAGGCATGTTCTGAGCAATGCATCGTTAGGTGATTCTGTCATTGTACAGGCATTACTGAGTGTGCTTGCAAAAACCTAGATAGTGTAGTCTATCTAGGCTATGTGTGTGTGTGTGTGTGTGTGTGTGTGTGTGTGTGTGTGGTACTGGGGTTTGAACCCAGGGCCTTCACAATGAACTACAGTGTCAGTCCTTTTGTGTTTTTTATCCTGAGACAGCATTTCATTAAGTCACTAAACTGTCCAAGCTGTGTTTGAACTAGCAATCCTCCTGCCTCTGCCTCCCAGAGGCAGACACCACTATGCCTGGCTTATACTATCAGATAACAATAAAGAGTACAACCTTGTAAATACATAAACCAATAACATAATAGATTACTATCATTATTAAGTATTATGTGCTATACCTAACTGCATGCACTTGACCTCATACAACTGTCAGCATAGTAGGTTCATTTGCACAAGCACCACCACAAATGAGTTGTGTATTACACGGGGACATCAATGTGCAATTGGACTCTTCCAGCTGTATTATAAGCTTATGAGACCACCAGTCCATACATGCACCTTCCTTGACTTAAAGGTCACTAGGTGGCAAATGACTATACTTTTTAAACCTTGGCATACATATTCCAAATTGCTCTCTAGAAGGGCTGTGGTAAGAGAAATGTTTGGATGCTTTGTAAATATTTAATTTTGCTAATGTCAAATAATGTTTGTAAATGTCCTGATAACTAACACTCTCTCATGCAATGCCAATCATTACTGCTGTTTATTATCAATATAATTAAACAACGGTCACAACAAAATTATTTTCCTGAGAGTGCACTAAAATGCTGCTGTAATCACGGTGCTTGTGGTGCAGCCTTGTTGTGTTACGTTTTATGTCAAGAATGCAGTTTGGATTTGCTGCTGTAATTTGCCCAGCACAAACTCCAGTTTATACAAATTCACTCTCACCCAGTGATGTGAATGCCCTGGCGCATGGGCAACTATGATTAGTTGACCAAAAAACATCTTAAAAGTTAGATATAATCATGTCCTTTCATGAGGAAGGTGACACTTAAGGTGCTTAAAACACGATAGTTATTTCAGTATGGCACCCAGCAAGGTTTCAACGATGTATTTTCAGATTATCTGGCAGGAAAATATGTGCTTATTTTTCCTTTGTTCACAAATATGTTTAGTTCACAACATCTGTTAAGAAAGTTACTTTGGTTCTGCATGGAAGGTATAATGCTCCAAAAAAGCGAGATTTAGAAAGAAAGTCAACCTTGATTTTGAATTTTTGCTGTCAATATGGCCAATCCCATTGTTTTTGCTGCACATGTACAAAAATGAAGAGCATCTGATCTTGTTCTCCCATGAGTGGTGGAGGAAGGGAAGAAGGACTACTGGAAATAGTTCCTGGTCTTTTGCTTGCCTTGGGACTCCCAAGGAAGGCACACAATTCAAGTACGAATCTTGTGCTTCCAGGTAATAGGACCCAGTTCATGCTGGTTTAAATAATAAAGGAAAGGTACTTTAAAAATCCAAGTTCTGCTGAAGTTTGGCCATTTAAGCAAAGCATCGTGGGATTGATTCTCCTCTTCCACATCTTCTTAGCCCTAGACTGGATCTTCTCAGAGGCACAAAATGGCTGCCAGCAGTGCTCAACTTTCATAATAAGGAAAGGTATTTCTGCCTGTGTTTCCTAGAATATCTGCAAATCATGCTTCCAAGGAGCTTCTGGAAAAATGTCTTGCCTCTCATTTGCCCAAGTTGCATCAGATGACCAGCCCTGGACCAGTCACTGGGTCGAGTGATACTGTGAGGCTATTTGGCCTCAGTCAGTACTTCAGGGTCAGCCCGCTACCAACACCTTTATGTCCTGCAGACAAAAGTTTGAGAAAGTTCTTCTGCAAATCTTCATATGCTTCCTTGGAGATAGTTCTCTTTACCATCTTCACCCATCTTTCCAGATGAAAGCTGGTGGGTTTGCCATGTACTCGGATGAGAAAGATGTATCATCCTTTAATTCACTGCCAATCATAGCTGAAGAGCTAAATGATTTCATTGTTTCATATCCAGCTGAGCTTATTCAAGGCTGACCAGCTTACTTCTACATCCAAATACAGATGCTCCTCAACTTACACTGGGATTACATCTGATAAACTCATTGTAGGTTGGTATATCATAAATCAAAAGTACATTTAAAACACCTGACCTGCCAAATACCCTACATTAAGTACTCAGAACACTTACATTAGCCTACAGTTGGGCAAAATCATCTAACACTAAGCTTATTTTATAATAGTATTGAATAATTTATGTACCATATTAAATTCTGGACTGAAAGTGATAAACATAATGACTGTATAGGTGTACTTTCACACCATGATAAAATTTTTCAAAAGCTCAAGTTAAGCCATAGTAAGTCAAGAATCATCTGTACTTTGTTACTAAGAAGTACTTGTAGTTACAAATACATTGGGAAATTGCCATAGATTCTTCACTCTGAATATCAGCTGCCTTGCATGGAACATGTACTGGCTTAACCAGGAGGAAAATGGTAGAGAATCAGGCAGGCCAGACACAGTCCCTGCCTTCCTCTTTGTTGTTCCACTTTCCATCTCCCATTCACCTGCCAGAAATGTCATTCAATTTGGATACAACTACTCACCTTCTGCTTCCCAGAGCAACAATCATCAAAGCCCAATTTCATGATGGCACCTGTAGAAAAAACACTCCACCTCCTCCCACATGACCATAGAATTTCTGTTAGTGGACACCCAACCAACTCTCACCTTGCCTTCAAAAAGTACTCTTAGTTCAGCACAACCAATCAGCTTTTGCCAAATTTTATTTTGCCATTTCTAAAACATTTTCTTTTATTATGTACATGATTTATATTTATTGTAAAATCATAGAAAATGCAGATCAGCTAAAAAGATGAAATAGAACTTGCTGTAATCCTGTTTTCAGAGAGATTTGCTACATCTGGTGGCTGTGACCATTAATTGTGATGCATCGATGTAACTGGGTTAGGAAACACCCAGAAGATTAGTAAAGCACACTTTTGGGTGTGTCTGGACAGGTTATAAAGGCATAACTATATATGGTCTGTGACCCTTTCCTCTCTGGAACTGTTCTCCTACTTTGCTTCTGGACTACTGTGAACTAAACAGCTTTCTTATGCCCTCCTGTCATGATGTTCCTGCCTTGGAGCCTGTAGACCATGGACTGGATTCTCTGAAACCATAAGCCAAATAAGTCTCTCCTTCTTTAAATTATGAATTTGTCCCAGCAATGAGATATCTGAATAATATAGAGGCTATGTCCTTCTAAGACTTTGATATGTGTATGTCCACATAGATCACTTTTCAAAAATAAAAGCATAATCATGCTATAAACATTATTTTGTGACATGTCTTCTCACTCAAAGAACTCAAACATCTCAGTATATCAATAAATATACTTTTGTCATTGTGTTGCTATTAAAATTCATTGTTCCATAGTATCTGTTGTTGAAATTCATCAGAACTGTTCAGAGTTTGTTATTATAAACAGCACTGTGGTAAACAACTTTGTTGTTAAACCTTGGCACCCATTTAAGATACTCAACAGTAGACATTAGATCTATGCGCAATCTCACTTCTGAAACGTTTGATATGCATTGGTCAGTGGTCTTCCTAACAAACTGTCACAATGTAGTCTCCCACCAGCATTATCTGAGAGTGTTTATTTTCCCACAGCTTCTTAATATTTCTTTTTTATTTAAAATAACTCTAAATATGCAGAAATTAAGTCCAAGACAAGATAATCCAGATAATATTCTGATTAATGTTTCTGCTAGCTGGGGGGCTAAAGAAAGTAATATACTAAAATCTGGGTAATTTAACTGTGAGCTGGTATCAATCCCTGATTGACAAAGTTGTGAATTGAGAGATTTCCCCTATACCTACTTAAGGAAAATGAACAAAGGGGAAGCCCTCTGAACAACTGCCTGAATAATTCACTCCTAAAGTCCTGCTGTGGGGGAGCAAAAGTGGGGAAAGTACATTTGCATCATTGCTGTGATCAGATTCAATTTTTAAGCTGCCAATAACAATAGCTATAATAATCATTTTATGTTTAATATTTTGCTTTTCTTTAAGCATAGTGTTAATGAGTCATTTCCACTTCTTATCATATTCTTGCTATGAGTCAAGACGGGGGAATTCACTTAATCTTCACAACAGAGTAAAAATTATTTCCTATTCTACTGAAGAAACTGAGGCCCAGGGAGGTTGAGTAATTTGTCCAGGATCACACAACAAATTATTGGGCAGAACTAAGATCAGAGCTCAGAATCACTTGTCTTCAAATCCTCTGCTTTGTCCTCTGTGACACATGGACTGTCTCAGTGAAGAGAGAATCTCTGCTCCCCAGAACCCTCAGACCTGGTCAGACATTGCTATGGGCAGGATTCTGAGTGTTCCCCAAAAGCCTATGTGTTAAAGAGTTAGCCCAAGTGGTGCTGTTGGGAGCTGGTGGAACCTTTAGGTGATAGAGCCTGTGGAAGGTCCTTAGGTTACTGAAGGTGTTCCTCAAGAAAGATTGTGGGACCTCAGTCCTTTTCTTCCTCTCTTTTGCTTTCTGGCCAACAGGTGAGCCCTTTTGCTCCCACCATGATCTGCTGCCTCAACTATTGTCTCTAAGCAATGGAACCAACCAATTATGAATCTCTCAAACTATGAGCCAAAATAAACCTTGCCTCTTTATAAGTTAATTGCTTCAGGAGTTTCTCACGGTAATGGAAGTCCAGCTAACAAAGACATCGCAGATGAACGTATGAGCCTCTGTTGCTGGATTCCATTTGGAACAACTGCATTAACACCTCTTTTTCTCTCACTTCTTCTCTTCCCATCAGGTCCCAGAAAAACCACTGAAGAGCATCAGATATATGGACAAGGAAATAGTTAACTTCAAAAAAGACCTTATACGAAGCCGGTAGGTGAGCCCCGCAAGGAATGACTTATAGACCACCTGACAGGGTTAAGCAGGCTGTAGAGGGACATCTACAAGTCCTTGCCTAGTTCTGTTGTGCCCCAACCCTAAATATGCAACAGAAGACTTACAAGAGAGTAACCTTGTAAGGAGCAGAGGACGGTGTCCCTATCTTAGTTGCATGATGTGTGATCAAAATATACAGTGACTTTAAATTTTAAAAACTTATTATTGTAAAAGGCACTTTGCCCCCTCAAAATACTCCTCCTCACTTCAAACATGTTTGTTCCATCATTGTTTCCACTTTCTGAATAAGTTCTGGAAATCCTCTTTCGTGAATGTCTTTACAAGTTAGGATCGAAAAATACAGTGAATGTACCAAATACCAAAAGGCAGACTCATAAGAAACGTAGTGTGTCCTCATTCACACTTAATCAATAAATCTGGCACTGAGTGACTTCTGACTCTTCCTCAAAGTCAAAATGACCAGGAAAGCCAACCATTTTTAACTGATTCAGGACATTGTGAAAAAGGATTTCTAGAACAGCTTCAGAAGGTGTCCAGAATGATATCATAGGTAATTTCAAAACTAGGGAGAGCATTCTGAGGGAAATGAATTCCAATCTGTCATTTACTATTACAATTTTCTTTTAACAATGTAAACATTCACCATGTTTTGCAATGGCACCATATACTTTAAGGAAAGAAACTGTACCAGACTTATAGCCATCACTTGCATGGGCGAGTCTCTTGCCTAGAACTCCCCTGCTTTCCCTTCTAGTCCTGAACCTAACCCAACAGAGCTCCTATGTGCTCCAGAAAGTTTCCCTTCTTTACTCCAGCCCCACAGGATGATAGCAGAGAGTCAAGTAGACTTGGTATCACATGCCTACCCTTCCATCTGCCAACTGGTGACAAGGAAGGAGTTATCAGACCACCCTGGTCTCCTTGTCCCTATCTGTAAAATCAGAATGAAACGAGGTTGTTAGAAGAAGTGAGTGAAATGATGACCATAATGATCAACTCCTATGACCTTGAATACCCTTCCCCACTTCACTCTTCATCCCTTAGGGTATGAGCAAATTGAGGTCCAGGAATAGATTTCATTCACCTCTGCATGGTGAGATAAGATTTTTTCTCCTCATCCCTTAATTCTTTCCTGGAATCTGGAACTTTCAAGGTGGAGTCACAAGGTAGGGTTTCAGAAAAAGCTACTGGATGCAGAGTAAGGGCTGGTGATTTTTTTTTTAGCATAGACACACACAAGGCATGCAGGGAGCCATGGTGAAGGCAATAGGAAAGGTTGGTATGTCTTTGTCGTCACCCATTCTGAGCTAGTGCGCAGTGAGGGACACAGTGGGACACTTCCTGTCTCCACCTCTATCATCCAAACCCCACCCCACCCCACTGCCACCTGCACGCCTTTTCCAGCAGAAAAGCAACTCTATACAACTGAAGACCTAGCCCAAGAGAATGAAAGCCATTTTTAATAACATTTTATTTAACCCAATATATCCAAAATATTGTTGTTTAACATGTACTCAATATAAAAAATATTTAATAAGATACTTTATACCAAATTACTTTGGCACATGGCTGTAATCCCAGCACTCTGGGAGCCAAAGGCAGAAGGACCACAAGTTCAAGCCCAGCCTGGGAAACTTAGCAGTTTAGCAAGACCCTGTCTCAAAACTTAAAAAAATTTTAAAGAGCCATGGATGTAGTTCTGTGTGAAAGCCCTGTGTTCACTCTCCAGTGCTGGAGGAAAAAGTGATGCAGACAGTGGCTTTTCTGCACCCTTCAGCTGGCCACTGCAGTCCATCTCTCCTGCCAGCAGTATTTACCACAGCTCCAGAACAAGCTAGAATTTACCACCTTCATCAGACAGGACTAGCCCGTCCCGCTGCTGGACATGAAGGAGAAATGTGAGAAAGGACATACAGAAAAGCCACAAGCAAGAACCTACAGAAGGACAACAGAGAGTTCCACCTGACTGCACTTCTGGATCCCACTAAGGCTTAAGGAATCACAATTCCCCATCAGAAGGAAATGTCCTGTTTGCCAGGGAAAAATCACCTCTAAGGAGTACAGACTGGCCCCACCCATGAGCTCATCTCCCAGTACTAAATGAGGCAAATTATTAGCAAAGATGTTGTCTTTTCCACTTATTGTTTTGTAAATCTATTTCACCTCTTATTAGAGTCCAGCCCACCTTGAGCCACACACCCTGACTGTCCCCTGGATTTTTATTTAATACTTCACCCTCTTATAATTCAATTGCACCATCTCTGGTTTCATGGCCAATTTAACATGATGCTAAAAAGAATAAAACTCTAACTGCTTTCTTCCTCGCCTGTTCTGCCAGATGTTCTGTAGCACGAAGCATCATGCCACACACTAATTTGCTGAATTTCTGCGAACAAAAACTGATGATTGCGACCTCTGCATGGGCCGCGTACTTGGTCCACTCTTGAAGTGGATGGCATATTTTCCTCTGAAGCCACCGGTGATTGTTACTGCAAATGCCATAAGAAAAATAACTCTCTCTGCAACAGAGTCAAGGAAAACATTGAACCAAAAGCTATGATTTAGCCATGGCAAAGTTAAGTTAAATACTGGCAATGGAAACTAAACAGTGAGGAATTATCCACCGCTGCCCCCTCCACAGCAGATCCTGGCAGGATCCAGATTCTGCAAGTCTTTAGGAGATCTGAGAGTTTGCTTCCCGGCTGCATTTGATAGACAGTGGAAGCAAGGCAATGAGAAATAAGTAAGGTGGGATTTTTAGCAAAGGAAGAGGCTATGTTTTGCGTGTTGAGTTAGGCACTCCTCTCTACTACGGTTCGGATGAGTGTCCTCCAAAGTTCGCTGTGAGAGACACTTAAGATACTGGGATGTGTGCCCTTGAAGGGGCTTGTGTTTCTTCCTTTTTTCTGGCTCTTTTGCTTCCTGGGCCAGGAGGTAAGTGATTTTGCTTCACCACACACTCCAGCCACGATGTGCTGCCTCATCAAATGCCCAAAGCATGGAGCCTCTGAGTCATGGCCCCCAAAACCATGGACCAAAATAAACCTTTACTCTTTATAAATGAATGCCTCAGATATTCCACTATAGTTTCAGAGAGATGCTGGATACATTCTCGGTAACAACTTACCCCTCGATGCTCATTCATCTCCTTCAACAGACATCTATGGAATATGAAGTCTGACCAGCCATACACTAGACCTGGTTGTATGTAACAGAGACTCAGAAATGAACAAAACAGACAGAATTCCTGTCCTCAAGGAGTAAGAGGTGATGCTGTGCATGCTGTATAGATCGTAGTGATGGGGAGGAAACTGCTACTAGAATGGCCAGGAAAGAGTGGTTTATGGGAAGAATCATAGGCTCACTACATGCTACCTGAATGGAGAGAAAGCCATTAACCTACAGGTGGGGGGGGGTAAAGTATCTCAGAGAACAAAGGGGGAATGGTGCTAAAGTTGGAACAAGCTGGAAATGCTGGAGGAACAGAAGCCGGGCAGATGGGGCTGGAGCAGAATGAGACAGGATTAGAAAATCAAGAGACAAAGTTGGAACACTGGACCAGTGCTGGTTCACCCATGGCCTTGCAGGCTGGGATAAAACATTTGGGTCTTAGTCTAAGCGCAGTGAGAACCCACTGGGGGAGGGGCATCATGAGCAAAGGAAAGATGTGGGCTAATCTTTAAAAGAGCATCCCCTCTGCTGCATGGACACCAGCTGGAGAGCCGTGGTGAGAAATTATTTAGCAGTGAATTGGGAAAGGAAGGTGAATTCCAGGCTTCTCTGGAGGTAGAGCCCCTGGAAGGGCACTGGATTGGATGTGAGAGCCAAGGGAAAAGGCAGCACCCATGTGCTACAGTGATCTGCTCCATCCCTACCTCCTTTGCTAGAACGTAAGAGCTCTCACTGTGCAATATGAAGTGTGTCGTGCCCACTTTTGTGATCCTGGGCAAGTGTGTGCTGAAAAGGTGAAGTGATATTCTTGTCCATCCCTAGAACTCAGTTTTTTAAAAAAGGAAGATGTGTTTACTAACTTAACTGAGTTCATGAGTAAGGGAGATAGGATAAATCAGAAGATGAGATATCCAGTCCATTGCTTACAGCCTTTCAGGTCAACCTGTCAACCTCTCCCTATTCCACTGCCATTTAAGCAGAATTATCCATTCCAACTTATTGGTGGCTGTCCTGCGGCTGGAAAGAGGAGCCAGCAATGTTGACCAAAAGCAGAGTCAACCTGTCCTGTGAGTCCCATGGTCTAGCTCAGCGCTTGGTGTAGAGTAGGCATTCAAAATGCATTTGCTGGAATTTATGTGTATGTAACATCTTAAAGTCTTCCCCAAGGCAAGAAACATGTCTTGTTGCTTAACTTCTGCAAAGGCAAACTGAGACTTAGAGAACATCAGAGATTTACTTAAAGTTATCATGTCCATTAATTACCACTGTGTAACAAATAATCCCAGAAACTCAGTGATTTAAAACAGTAAGTGCTATTAGTAATTTTGAGTCTGTGGTTAAGTGGAGGGCTTCTCTGCTCTCTAGTGGGCTCCCTTGTGCATCTGGAATTCGCTGAGGTGAGTGGGCGTCTCTGCTGATCTTGGCTGGGATCTATCATGTTTGAAGGTTAGCTGGCCATATGTATGACCTTGACCGGTACAACACAGTTTCCCATTCTCAAGAAAGTTAGCTTGGGTTTGTTCTCATGGTGGCAAAGTCCCAAGAAAGAATGGAAATGCGTGGGACCTACTGAACTAAGTTAGTTACTATAATCACAGCAACTTAGGAGGCTGGAGCAGGAGGATCACAAGTTTGAGGCCAGCTTGGAAATGTAGCCTCAAAATAAAAACTATAAAGGTCTTGGGATTTAGCCAGCAGTAGAGTGCTTGCCTAGCATGCCTAAGGTCCTGGGTTTAATCACTGTTACCACAAAATAAATACATAAAAAAATGAATTAAACGCCTCTTGGATAGGCTAGCTTGCCA